CTAATACCAGAAATGAAGATGATTACACATTTTTAAAATCATAAATATGAACAAGGCAGATATGTGTTTATTATAGTATAAATCATCAAAATCGGCACGAAAAATGTCAAATTACTGTAGCAGAAATTGTTAAAGTTGTTTGAGGATCAATTCCAGAAAGTTGTTCAGCTTAAGCTGTCTTCATGGAAGATTTTTCAAACCTTCCAGGGATTTATAATTGCCAAAGGATCTAAATTATTGCAGAGCACCACAAAGGAAGAAACTTTTTCTAATTCATTTTAAAAGGTTGACATATTTCTGATCTGAAAATCTGACACAGGACAAAAAGAAAAAGCTGTCAATCCATCTCACTATTAGTAGCATTGCTAAAATTATAAATAGATCTTAGAAAATTAAATACAGTACTCTCTCAAAAGAATATTATATCCTGATTAAGTAACTGCCAACAATTGCTTTTGCCTCCACACAGTTCACAAGCTAAACATACTCCCATTATTAATGCCTCTCATCAAAATTGTGTGATTCCTCTCAGCAGTGATTGTTAAAGAAGAGGAGTAAATAGGGGAGTATATGGGTAGATTGCAAATAGAAATGTACCTGTTGTGTCAATCCCCCAAGAGAGACACTGTCTCATGGTCCCCAGGAAATTAAGATTTAAAAGTGGTTCTATTTTCTTCTATGTTCTTTCTGTATTTTTTAATGCTTTTTAAAATGTATATATTTATAATCTGAAAAATTATATGCCGGAATACTCAGAAGAAAAACAAACAATCAAGCAAACAAGAACAACAAACCCAAACAAAAACATCATAAACATTCCAGCATGGGGATGTGACTGGTAGTCTCACTAAAGACCAGCCAACCAAGCTTAGACTGAAAATTTATATTCTCATAAATATTTCTGTCCAGACATGGCCATTCTTCATTGGTTCAAGAACCTTCAAGCTGCATTCAAATTAAGACCATCTGTCCACCAAATTTAAACTGCTGACCAGTGTCCTAAAACATCCAACAGTAAGATTTGATGCCTTACTCTAAAACTAGCTCAGACTGAGTTAATCAAGTCAGCACCAACCACAACCAGCTTACCAGTGTTCCTCTCAACTTGGTGCAGTGTTATCCAAGGTTAAAGGTTAAAGCCATTTGATCATCCTAAACACAAAATCTGTGTGGTCAATACTCTTAAAGTCTTCTTTATTAAGAAAAGAAATATCATCAGAGCCAACGATTAACCATTCAAGCCAATGAAAATGGGAACTTGTCTAAAACTGTGAAAGTACATTTTAATCAAATTGCTATATCAAGAGTTACTTGCAATAAAACTCATTTGAGTAGAGACACAATTTTCCTGAGTATAAAGACATGTAAATTATAAATTATATATACACTTGTACATACTAAACATGAATAAATGAATATATACATGTGAATATATATGTATGCCCATATGTTTGTATGTATGTGTGTGTACATATATAAAATTTAAAATACAATAGTTGCTTGTCAACTAGAGTCACCCTTACCCCAAAATATCTCATTTCATTGATTGTGGAAAGTCTAAATATCCTCCTAATGATTTCTGCAAGTTCTTTATTAAGAAAAGAAATATTATCAGAGCAAAGGATTAACCAGTCCTTCTAGCTCTAACTTTCTGCCTCTTCTAAATTACTTTAATTCAGATGTCATCCTACAATCTCCAATTTTTGTGGTGTCTGTCCTGCGCTAACACAGAAGTATAACTTAGACTTTTCCATTAATTTTCATCAAAATAAAATAAAAAGCAAAACCGAAAACAAAACAAAAATAAAAAGCCACCTTCATGTAAGAAAACTGTAAATGTGCCTGACTCTAAAATAGTTCCTTAGCCCTTTACATTTACAAAACTGAGAGATCTAACTTTCTATCCTACTCTAATGTCATAGTTCTTTGTTCTGTCCTTCCCCGTTCCCTTCTTCCCTCCCTGCATCTCTCTCTCACTTCTTCATTTTATGTCTCTCACTCCCTCTCTCCTTTTATACCTTGATCTTCTCTACTCTTTTCTTGACTTTTCCCCTTCACCAGCAGATTGGCTATTACAGTAATTTCTGCGAGTTTAGTTCATGTTCTCAGGATCCTGTTTTCTACCTCAAGTAGCTAAATTAAACAATTTTCTCAGACAGTATCCTTCCTAAGAGAAATTCGGCAGTCAGCTGTTAAAAGATAATACATTTTTTTATCCCTACTACATTATATTTAGCCAAGTCTGTGCAAATGTAATTTTTCAAATTGTTCTTTCACCTTGATTAAAAAATCAAGCTTTCAACATCATCTAATAATAAATTATTCTGCATAAGACCTCTAAATTGACTCAAATCTAAAACCTGCTTTAGACTTATGAAAAATTATCAAAAAATTTTCAGTCTTATTGGAACTTATAATCATGCTCATGAATTCTGAGCTTTATTTTTTAAACAGTTAGCTGTTGCGTTCAGCAAATTATTTAAACTGTAACTTTGAAGACGTGGCGGGGGGGTTGTTGAAAAACTAAGAACTCATGTTTGCTGTGTTCTATAAAGAATAAAGCAAAGAAAATTTGGCTTTGTTCTCCTTCAAAAAATCCCCCACACAATTAATATGTGTTTATGTAGATGGTTGAAGAATGTCCATTTACAGTTTAAGGGAGAAAATTAAAATAAATTCTGGCTCAAAATCACTTCTTAGGAAACAGGCTGCTACTGCCACCTGGGGGAGATTCTTTCCGCTTCATTCAAGAAACCCAATGTGCTTATCAGATGAAGGAAGCCAGTTCATGCTTTCCTTGTCATAGCCACACAGAAAGAAGACTTTTTAACTCTCTGCCCATGAAGTCATAAGACATTCCAGATGTCTCCAAGTTTCTTTCACCCAGAAATACGTATTTCATCGACTTTTTGAGAAATACAAGAGAAGACGAATCATACTATAGCCATACTACTTAAAGCACCAAGAAAATATTTTGAATTAGTATGGGTAATACACTAAGAAGTAGAAAAAATAAAATTTGAGTTTTCAATAAGAAAATAAAACCCGTGGCTCCAGTGGCGCAATCGGTTAGCGCGCGGTACTTATAAGAAAATAAAACCCAAGTTGTTAAAAAAAAAATGTATTTGACTTCAAGTTATAGTTAATTGTACTCCTTTCCTTAAATATACTCTCATTAATTGATATGAAAGCTGCATGTGCCAATATAATCATCCCAGTGGTTTCATAAATTAGGATAAAATAATGCATTTTATTATATGAATATAGCAAAAAGAATTATCTTAAAAAATTTGAACAGTATTATGAACTACATACTGATGTGAAGTCATGATCTAGTTGTAGATCATGAAAAAATTGTAATCATTGCTATAGAATGTCTAATTTCTGTTTAATACCCATCTTGCATTTCTTTATGCTATAAATAAGTTGTTACCTATAAGAAATGCACTAAATAAAAAAATACTAAAAATAGAATGTTTCAGTACCTGTTAAAATTACAAGTCTGTCAGATGTCATAAAATAGTCAGTGCTGATTAGGGGAAGACAACTAATCATTTATTAAGAGGCTATCTGGTAATAGATTAACTAAATAAAATACACACGGTGTCAGTCCCAGAGTGGTACAATAACGCTATCAGAAGGTGAAAGTTCATATGAAAGAACAGCTGTGCTAGGGCAAGAGACGTCTTTGTGGAGAAAGCATTTTCAAGACTGGAAAAGGTAAGTGAAATATAGCAAATGGATTGGGATTGCATAATTAATTTTCTAAAAACATTACACCGCTGATTTAGGAGTAAAAAGAAATTGACTGCATCTCACTGCAGTTGACACCACTGAATGAGCTGGGAGAGCTAGTGTGAACTGGGGGAACCTACAAAATGAGTGTCTTTTTATGGAGGTATGAAGCTCCTACAAGGTGTTCATATTAGGGTGTGGGTATAATGGAGTGAGGGATGTTAAAGGACAAGAAGGACCTGCAGTACTTAAAACTGTGTAGTAAAGTTACAAGATATAAGCAAAAATAATAAATGTGCAATATTAAAATGTCTTTATTTCTGAATCAGCAGCGTGGTCAGTGTTAGCAATTGGCAAGTAACTCTGCTTATAAATCTAGTGAAAATGATCAATAACCGTAAAATGCTATAGGGGGCTTATGCTGTGTACAAAGGATCAGCCACTGTACAGATATTATATATGGAATAGAGTCTCCCAAGATTCTCCTTCCTTCCAACTGAGCTGCCCCATGTGTTAGGCTTGACTTTCTTCGTTAAAGAGCCAACACTAACACTAATGAACCATAGAGATGATTTATTAATTATTTTATAACAGAATTACAAGGAGTTTTTATTTTCACCAATGTTCCCTGGTTGTAAAAAAAAATTTGGTAAACAGAAGTCGTCTTTAACATTATTTATATTTCATAGGAAAGAAGCATTCAGGAAATCGGGAAGGAAGATTTTTTGCAGATACCACTTGTGTATTCAGGCAGTAGGTCAGGAAGTGGGAAGATGGGGGATGTTAAAAATGCAAGAAGGGTTGTTTCTTCCACTATTCTATTCTTACTTTTCCAATAGTGAATAACCTTTAAATACTACTGCTAGCTTTGCCCCTGAGCTCAGGAACTTCAACACCTTTTCCTAAACCAACTCACCTATCACATTGATGAGTTAACATATTTCTCCTAAACATGGTTTATATGATCTTCATGTAATTTGGGATTTTTTTCCCTCATTTTCTGCAATTACTGTTTCCTAAATCCTTCCTTATCTGTATTTGACTTCTCTCCCTTCTCATTGTAAACTACTGATATTATTTCCACATTCCTTTCTGTCACTGGGGCATCTCCGCTTTAGTGGAGCAGTCCTCCTCCATGCTTTAGTCACTACAAATGAAGGGAAAACAAATCCTACTTGGAGTGCAACCAGGCCAGGTAAGAAACCTTACACTGGGGGAATGTAGAAGCCTCATTATGCATGCTATGCCTTTGTTTTCCAACAGCCATGACAGACCCCAACAAGGTAATCATCAACGTGGCCCTCTTTGGCATGACTTAGAGTGGGAAAAGTTCTGCTGGAAACATTCTGCTGGGAAGCACAGACTTTCACAGCAGCTTTGCTCCCTGTTCTGTGACCACATGTTGTAGCCTGGGCCGCAGTTGTCACCTCCATAGCTTCATGCGTCGAGGGGGTCGAGAGGTAACCCTGCAAGTCCAAGTGTTGGACACTCCAGGTTATCCACACAGCACGCTGAGCAAGAAGCATGTGAAACAGGAAGTCAAAGAGGCTCTGGCACATCACTTCGGACAAGAGGGTCTCCACCTTGCACTCCTGGTTCAGAGAGCAGATGTACCTTTCTGTGGGCAGGAAGTAACTGACCCAGTCCAGATGATCCAGGTAATACTAAGATGCAATTGTACTAATGCCATTATTACCTCTTGGAGGGCATTATCGTAATAGTGAAGAACCATGAACTGGTAAAAATAATAATTTAAACAACTAAGTGTTGGTCACCTAGGAATAGTAAAATTATTTGATTTTCCCAAGTCATTTTTATGACTTCCTTCAGAGGAACCCAATCAGTCATTTTACAACTGGTTCGTAGAAAAAAAAATGAGATATTAAATTTCAGAGGTTAACCAAGCCTCAAACCCCTGGAACAAAAAACCCAAATAAGTTTGCAAAATGTTGTCCCTGGACTGTCTGCATCAGAATCAACTGGGCTGTTTGTTAAAGAAGATTGATCCAAAACGTGCTGAAACAGACTCCCAGGAGTGCAGCCTGCATATCTGCATTTTCATAACTTTCCATGCATTTCTCAAAAACAGTCAGGTCTTAGAACCACTGAACTTAAACGCTGACTTGCATCCATTCAGCATCAAAGGGACAATCTCTTATAGTTGACCAAGAAATGGGTGCTCATTCACTGACTTGGTCATTGAACACTCTACTGAGCATCTGAACAGTGTTTAATGACTGGTAAATGAGACACGAGCCCTTCCTTCAGAAAGTTTACAGTCTAGAAGAGGAAAATTAGATAAACAAATCAGAAAAAGATAACGCATTAAGTGCCAAAGGAGTATAGTGAATGAGAGGGGGCTTCATAAGACTTAAGTCATAGTGAGCATTCAAGGGAGAGTTATGCATTCTTTACAGGAAAACAATTTGGAACTTCAGATTCTTTGCTTGCCTTATCAGCTGCAGCATAAGTGACTGCTCCATTCTAGCCATAAGAAGACCACAGGGACCTCAGGTTGAGCATAAATAACACATGCCACGTTTCCCTGGTGGTCTATTCCTGTTTGTTTGTTTGTTCATTCGTTATAGGTCACTAAGTTGGAGACTTATTCAGCCAGTCTCAAGGAGAGGAGCTGGATAAGAGGCCTGTGCATGACCACAGCTAGGAGATGGAGGGAGTTGGGAGTTTGTGTGTGTATGTGTGTGTGTGTACGTGTGTGTGTGTATGATGTGTGGACTATTACTAACAATAGTCCACACAGTCCTGTGTAGACTATTACTAACAATTCCTGGAAACTGTTCACTGAGCTGCTCTATTCAATCTGTGGATTTCTTCGTCTGAGTCAATCTAAATATAGCTGCTGGACTTCACTAGTATTACTCGGGAACCTCAATGAGTCACTGAGCTCAGAGACGCCAGGTCTACTAGAAGCTCCACAGTTAAACTTTATACAGAATGGTGATCAGATCTTTTCTGTTCAAGTAGAACTTGTAAAAATGCTGCTCTTCTTTTGGTTCAGTCTCAGCTTATACTGACATAGTCCCTGTGACAGCCCAGAAAGATAGTTACTTTGTTTTAATGAAGATTTTTTTCCCTTCAACTAGAAAAGATACTTCTACCTGACAGATAAACACATTGTTTTTTGGTAACTGTGTATGTTTCTAAAAATGAAAAAAAAAAAAATGCCATATGTATAATCACAAGAAACTAGTGGAAAAATCAGGGTGACAAGAGCATTAAAAAAAAGTCCTCATCATGCAACTCTGGAAAAACCAGGGACCTGCTATAAAAAAGTAAAGAAGAATAGAAGATGATTGCAATTAAGAAACAATATGGGATCTAAGAAAGCCCAAAACCTCCTCCAAATTGTGAAAGCCTGTATTTCAAACAATGTTTCTGGTAGAAAACAAGTGGTGGGAAGCCTGCATCCATTACATCAGTATAATCTTTAGACAGTTCTTAAACATTCATTTAAACCTATTATTAAGTAAACATTTAGCTGAGGCTATAAATGGATATAATTCAGTAAATTCAGTAAACATATAAACAATTCTTTTTCAAAAGCTACCCTGACTCTCTCCATATGTCTCAATATTTTTCCCTTCCATGAACCTATGCTGAGCCCAAAAGGTTCTTATAAATGATATACATTTTGAAAATAAGTTTTACTAGTTTTAGGATATAGGACAATAATATCTGTGAGGCTTTTTATACATGTGAACTCAATTCCTACATGTCTTTGGTCTTTTAAAACAATGTTTGGCATATAGTCTTCTCTTACAGCTGCCTTCCAAATCAGTGTGCAATTCAGGAATTGAAGGCAGCGAGGAGATGAGCTACGGCAAAGCTCAGATCCCAAATATTTCTTTCTGGAATAAATAACTTGTCTCTCAAGAAAATCAGCAGCCAAGGTTTAATAATCTTGAGTGGCCTATGATCCCTGGGAGCACTGCAGACCTATTCCTGGGTTCTGCTACAGTCTTTAATTGATGGTCACTTAAGCACAGGCTGGCTGTTTATGATCTTCCTGAAGGTGCCTCAGATGCTGGTGGCAGCCATCTGTATGTGCTCACAGACTGGAAGCAGTTGCAGAATGTCTGAATATTCAACAGGACCAGCAGCTGTTAGGACGGAGCAAGAAGCTGTTAGGTCCTCAGGTTTCAGGCACATTGTGGATTTCTTTTTCTTCCTGGCTGATGCAAAATGGAGAATGGAGTGCCTGCCTTCTTTCTTTTACCCCTTTGCAGGGGCACTAACTGGTTCTGTGGAAAGAGTCTACCAAGCCAGAGTCAGAGAAGTAGCTTCTTCTTTCCCGTGCCTCCCTGCTGTCTCTTTAAATATCTTCCCCAATTTGTACTTTAATATTTTGCAGAGGAGTTATATGCTGCCGGCTGTGATGATGGTAACATTTTCCCCAAATGATCCCTTTTTCTTTATTTTTGTTAGGCCTGTATTAATTTACAGTAAAATGATGGAGATATCAGTGAGTCATATCCCCAAAATTGAGAAATAGAAGGAAGAATTTATTTGAATGTTATCTGGAATCTCATTTAAATGTTTACAAACCCACAAATAATGAATCAGAGAAGATATAATATAGTCACCTCAAGGAAAGAGCTAGCATACAGCCAAGCTGCACTAGGAATTGAGCCTAGGTATTGCCTACAGTCCATTTCCCCCCCACTATTATGGTATTATGTATTATTACTGTGTACAAGCAAGTTTCAAGCATGTACTTTTATTTCATAATCAACAACTGAACTGTTGATGTTGCAGACGAATGTGTTTACAAAAATCTCAGAAAAGCCAATTCAGAGCCTGAAAATACTAAATTAAGATTATGGGTTTAGTTGTTAGAATTTAGCTTTACAACAGGCCTAATTACTTTATAGCTGTATGACTATAAATGTTACTAAAACTTTCTTGGTTTCAGTTCCTTACTTGTAATATGGAGATAATTTTATGTATGTTAAAGAGTTCTGAGCATTATATTTAATAAATACATCATGCTCAGCATTGCACCTGCTTACAGAAGGTCACAGAAAATGGTAAAGTATTACTAGTATTGTTATTGTTATGATCACTACCGAGATTGTGAATGAGCACTCATTCAAATGAACTACTATATACGGGCAAGATAGCATAGAGATTAAGAGATGGGTTCTAAAGTATTCAAGTCTTAGCTACTTATTTGCTTTGTGATCTTGGGCAAGTAACTTCTCTAAACTTCATTGGTAAGCTGAGAAAGACAGTAGTGTGTACTTCATTGGGTTACTTGTGGGATTAATACCCTATTAACAGTAAATTATATAGCTTAGGCACAGACACGTGGCAAGTGCACAGCAAATAGCTCTGGTCATTATTATTTTATTGTTAGTATTTGTCTTATCCTAAAATTAGGAAATGGTGTTTTTTAGGTTTATCCTGGTAGACTTCAGAAGAAAATAGAGTAAAATCAAGTTTACATGGTCCTGATTTATAACCATAAGAAGTAACTTTTTTATTAATTTAGAAAAAAGTCTGGAAAAATCCTCACTGGCTTAGTATGGTTAAACTGAAAAGCCCCAATTTAGTGGGAAAGACAGGGGACCTTGGTTCCAGGTCCAAACTTGCCAGTCATCAGTCCTATGACTTTGGCCAAGTCATTTGACACCACAAGTCCTCAATACCCTCATCTGTAAAAAGAGGCAGTTTATACAGATGATCTCTGAGGTTGAATATTCTCTGGATCTGACCTAATGAGAAATTATCATTGAGCTTTGGCTCTCTGAAAAGGAACATGTAATGTTTTAAGTGGGGTGAGAGTAAGGGAATAGCATAAAGTATTAAAAAAAGTGGTCCTTATTGTCCTCCTGTTCCATGATAATTTTTTCCTCAGTTGATGTCATAGTTGGCTTTTCTTTTTTTTTTTTTTTTTAGTTTCCCCCTAAAAAGTCCAGATGCTATGATTTCATCAACCACAAACAAATGGGGCAGGGCTGGTGAGGTCCTGGGAAAATGAACGTAGTTCCTGGATAACAAAGTTTATATCCTAACCAGTTGTCCCAAAAGAACTAAATGGACTCATACCCATTAGCGCTCAGAAAGCAAACAATTCATGATTGATTGTAAAATTTTCATCTAGCTTAGTACTATATTTAAATTATTAACACCAGATAACTTACATTAACTTATCTTGCTTTTGGATTTTTACGTGAGGTATCAATCAACTGTAATTATTCTTTCTCTGGGTCCATAGAGAACATGTTTGGCCACTAACATGAAGACTATTCAGCAAGCAACACTACTTTCAAATACTCAACTATTTTCTGGACAAAATTGACTTAAAGATTTTAAGCTAAATCAACCACTCTCTTCTGGTTTTGGCAGTAATTCAAAAGTGTAATTTCTCTCACAGTTTAAGATATGAGCATCCTTTCGTAAATAATTATAAATATGTAAAAACTTCCCAGTGGCTGAACACATGGACTTTAAAGTGGCATGGAGCTTACAAATCTATTTTCCTTAGGTGCTTTTACTCATTTTCTCTGAATAAGAGTGTGGTTTAAATTACGGGAAATGTCTGGTGGAGACCAAAAGGGAACATGTTAATGTTACAATACAGAAAAACAGGAACAAAAGAAATACTACAAAAGTTAAACCTTTTACTTCATTAAGTACTAACCTAGAAAGAAAATAATTCTGTGTTGTGATATATAACTCAAGAAAGGACTGTTTATGCAAAATAGTTTATTTAACGTGCACTTTTATTGTAGCAATACTATATTTCAAAAATATTTAAGGAGGCAAATACCTTATCCATTAAGTCACTGGGGCTCAAAAATATTTAATAATAAGTCCACACATCAGCCAATATATATCTAAGGGTAAGTTTAGGATGGCTCTCAAGGAGTTAAGAGCAGTAGCTATTTAATAATTTGCATGTAAACATTTTGATATTTGACAATCAGTGTGACCATATTCATAATGTACTTGGTGAATATCAGGTCTGGCTCTAAATTTGATAAACTTTCAGAGATAAGAGTGATTGAAGATCAATAGCTGTACTTGTTTAGAAATAAAATCTTAATGCTGTACAATCTCAGTCATGCTTGATTACATTAATTACTTTGTTAATTCCTACGTGTTTTTTAAGAATCTGGTCACTGCATCATCACATGCAAGGCACTTTGTCTGATCTTTCCTTTTTACTCCTACTTCCCACCTCCACCCCAAAATGGGCAAAATGCTCACCTCTATAGTACTAACATAATTTCTATCAGATTTGCAATTGAAACAAATTCAAAGTATTTCTTCCCTGTCTCCCTTTCTAAGTTAATTCAGCACACAAAAATCTCCACTAAATGTAAACAGAATATGTCTGTCTTGTTTCACACCCGTCCCTACCACGTAGAACATGCCTACAACAAAGTAGACCCTCAATAAATATTTGCAAAAGGAATAAATCATCTAAAGTGCTTTATAAAATTCAAATTCCAGGATCTAGCCCTAATGGTTCTAATGCATTTTTAGAAAGCCTCACAGGTGATTCTGATGCAAATGATTCAGGGATCACTGTATTCCCAGAGCCCAGATCTAATATACTTAGTACTGTATTAATTTTTGTAGTCACTTGCATTAGTTTGCTAGGGTTGCTGTAACAAAGTACCACAATATCGGTATTTACTGTCTTTCAGTTCTGGAGGCTAGAAGGCTGAAATCAAGGTGTTGTCAGGGTTGGCTCCTTCTGAGGACTGTGAGAGATCTGTTCCAGGCTTCCTTCTTTGGCTTGTACATGGCTATCTTCATGTACGAATGGCACTCTCCTGGGACTTGCGTCTTTGCCCAAGTTTCCCTTTTTTATAAGGACACCAATCATACTAGACAGGGACTCGCCCTAATGACCTTAGCTTAATAAATTATGTTTGCAATGACTCTATTTCCAAATAAGATCACATTCGGAAGAACTAGGGATCAGAATTTCAACACATGAGTTTGGGGGAGGATGCAATTCAACCCATAACATCACTGTTCATTTACTTTGCAACTCTGTGACTCCTCTTCCAGCAGAGATCTGTTACAGTATACTGAATATACAACAAACTCTAAAGAGGTCTGCTAATTTTGCTATGTTACCATTAGGCAAAATGGGATGTTGACATTATATGAATACTAATTTTTTAAACAATTATTTTTTAATGTTTAGAATCTTTCTATTACAATAATTATTCCCTAACATACTGATCGTGAAACTTTAAGCAGGGTATTTTTAGGAGGAATAGAAATATGCAGTTATTCTATGGTGGGTATACGTAGACAAATTTTGAACAGATATGATGAAAAAATTTGTGCCTATTCCTTGAAAGAGTCCCTCTGAAGAGAAAATAGAAAGTCTAGACTACAGGCAAATTCGTGGTGATAAACTGCAAAAGAAAAAAAAAAAAAAAAAGAAGAAGAAGTTTTACAAAGATTAATTATACTTCAAAACCAAACCCTGAAAAGAAATAAATAGAACCCTAAGCCTTCTATTTGAGATGATAATGAGGGTCTAAATTCCAAATTAATTTAACAGATGTTTACTGAGAATTTACAATGTGCTGAAAGCTTTGATTGATATGGAAAGACATGAATCTTGCCTTCAAAGAGTTCACTATGAAGTTGTAAAAGCTGATGTATAAATAAATGACTCTGATAAAAGCCAGACTGTATCAGTTGTAATTGGTAACCATGATTGTGATGTTTCTAATTTTAAATGTTTTGTCCCATAGTTCTCATGAGTATTTTCATGTTAGATTTACATATCTAGATTCCTTCCTTCCTTACTCCCGATTGCCTGCCTTCTTGCCTTCCTTCCTTCCTTTCTCCTTTCTTCCTTTTCTGTTTTCTTACTTATTTCATTCTTTTTGTCTTTCTTTTCAATTTTTCAATATTATAAATTCTAATCCTGTATTTTTTATGTACATTGAAAATGATTTCCCAGACTGTCTTTCAATATTTTCAATAATTTTTAAAAACCAGGGTTCATGTTAATACATATAACTCAAAGTCTGTAAGTCAGTTTGCCAACATCATAATGGAGATAATAATAGTATCTCCCATAAAGAATTGCATTAAGCTTCAAATGAGGTAAAGCATGTAAAGTGCTTAGCATAATATCTGGCACTAAATGTTAGTTTTTCTCCCTTCTTTCTTTCTTCTGATTATTAGAAGTCTTGGTGTTTCTTATTATGTTTATTCCTAGGCATTTTGTATTTTTCTTGCTATAAACTGGTAGTAGTTTTGGAAATATTTTGGTAATAGTATGATTCGGAATGGAGGGAATGCTATTTTGTTGTCACGTTGTGATTTCATATAACTTTGGAAATATCCAAAAAAGTTCAAGAGTTATTTCTAGATGCCTTACATATTACATGAACAATTTGCCACATGCTGTTACTTCTGCTTTATATCAGCTTATATGCACTAATCAAACAAGAATTTATTACATAACCAGCTTCCACATATTACTAAAACAAAGGAACGCCACTCTTCAGTGTTTTTCAACCACGTTAGAGAAAGTCATCAGATAAATTGTGTTCCATTTTAAGCATGTGAATTCAGGAAGATGAGAATCATAGTAATAATATTTTGTGGTTCTTCCAAATCACCAAATGTATTTTTATAGTAGCTTTTCCATTACATGTCACCTGATTAATCAATAGATTCTTAACAGATTATGTAATTTCGTATCTTTAGTAGATGCTTGTAATGATAATGATAACATATTTCTACAAAAAGTAAAAGATAAAACAATTCCCTTGACCAAGGTCCTCTGACTTAAATTCAGTGGCTTTAATGGAGTCAGGTAGTCAGATAAGTATAAGTGGAGCCAGATAGTCAGACAAGTATAAATGATTACTGAATGTTGAAAAATCTATGCAGCAATGCAGTTTTGAGGTTGTGTATATATCAATTATCATAGCAAAATAACAGAGAGAATTTAATTATCTGTTTAATCCTGCCTTTTTCAGAAAGTCAAGCCCTTTCCCTCCATTTGCTTACAATACTTGACCCTGTCTTCATTTCCTACTTCGTATATCAGCTTTCAGAAACATAATAATATGGATCGGCTGGCTATCTATATTGGACCATAATAAATCCTTTGCTCATGTTTGAGGAATATAGTTCAAGTTCAATAGCTATTTAACTTCTCTCTTTCAGGAACTTCTTGGGCATGCTTGGATGAATTACACAGCCATTCTTTTTACCCATGCAGAAAAAATAGAAGAGGCTGGGTTTACTGAAGATAAATATGTACATGAGGCCTCTGATACCCTGATAACACTGCTAAATTCTATTCAGCACAAATATATTTTCCAGTATAAAAAAGGAAAATCACTCAATGAACAACGAATGAAAATCTTAGAAAGAATCATGGAATTTATAAAAAAGAATTGTTACCAAGTTCTTACCTTTAAATGAAATTTAGGTGAAAGGAACGGAGCATTGGGTATCGGAGTCAGAAGCCTAGCTACAAAGAATGCCTTTATTGACATGAATGTGAACCATAAGTATTCTGATATGCTGCTGGTGAGACTGTACATTGGTATAACCACTTGGAAAACTGGAAGCTAAAAAAAACATCAATGATTCAAGATTTCTAATGCAAATCCCATGACATAGCAATTACACTCCTGAGTATATATCCAACATAAATGTGTATATTTGTGTACTAGAAGACACGTATGTACAATAATGTTCATGGAACTACTATTCAAAAGCTAAACATACAGAGTATTCAAATGTCTATTAATAGTAGAATGGTTAAGTAAATTGTGGTACGTTCCCACAGTGGGATATTAGAATAAGCAAGCTCAACTCTATGTAACAATACCAGTGAATTGCTCAAACACAATGTTGAAAAATAAGCTAGACATAAAAGAGTACATACTCCATGATTCCGTGTGCAGAAAGTTCAAAAACAGTAAAACAATTGTAATCTAAACTACTCTGATGGTAGAAGTGCTGGAAATCGGGAGAGTGGTTAACCCTAGGGAGGGGATTGTGAGTGAAAGTTTACACTTGGTGTGGCTTCTGAGATTCTGGTCATGTTCTTTTGTTCTCTTGATTTGGAGCCTGGTTTCACAGGATTTGTTCACTTTGTGAAAATGCAACAACAAACACTTGTGATTTATAAACTACTTGTATATGGTATATTTAAATAAAAGTTAAAAATAATTAGTTATTGTCCATTAAAAAGGAACTAGCTTGACCGCTTACTTACTGCCAGAAAAAAAAAAAAAAAATTGTTTAAACTTGTCAGAGTCTGTTTCCTTCTTTGGAATACCTACTCATAGTTATTGTAATGATTAAACACCCTGGCACATGGTAGTTGCTTAAAATATGTTAATTTTCTTTTCCACTTCCTTGTAACCTGTGGTTTCTATTTCAGTTTGGAAACATTTGGTAAAAACTCAGAGCAAGCCCTTTTGCAAAAATGAGTATAACAATTGTGATAATTGACTATGAATAAAGCCTTGACTAAAGACCTTCTACCTTTGAAGGTTGGCCACTATGGTTTAGTGGAGAGCTTCAGGATGGTCCCAATGGTAGCAGTGAAAATTGAAGGAAAATAATTCTAATCAGTCATATGAGTGAAGTCCACCAGCAAGTCAAAATCAGATCACTTTCATAAATATTTGTATACAAACTTCATAATTTATAAAATTCTTTCACAAAGATAGTTCCCAATTTACAAACAGTTTGTTTTTATAATCTAATTTATAAGGGTTTTTTTTGTTTGTTTTTTTGGTGTACAATATACTGGATTTGGATTTTCCATTAGAAACGGGATTACAGCTGGTGGTTATTCTCCCAGAATAGTCTTCAAAAGCCTACTTCAATGCACAACATTACGTGAACTCCAGTACATGTTTGAATTTGTGCTAGATTTATACAGTGTTTCTATAGGAAAGCATAATACAGATTCCAACTTAAAACAATATCTCACTTATTTCTTTGTATGACCTCTTTCTCCTATGCTGTGGGCCCTGGACTGAGAAGTAGGAGACTCAACAATGGTGTAGAGTTTGGAAGTGCAGTGAGAACTGACACTGCCCCACGGGTTGGGGGGGCTTGGGACAGAGAAAAGACTTGATGCTAAGAAGTTGAAACCATGGTGACTGCTGGAGAAAAGAGGATGGAAAAGAATTCAGGTGTTCAGTTCTTCATATGCTTCATTTATGTGTTGTCAGTTAACTTTTCTAGAACACAAATACTAGTTCATTTCAGGAAATATATATGGTGCAGAACATTAAGGATTTAAGCTCTGTGAGGCTGGCCTGATATTGATGATTAATAGAGAGGAGCTTTTAGTCACAGAAATGTGATGTTCTTCCCTGAATTATTTATTTTTATATTTGCATATACAGTATCACCCCTTATCTGTGATTTCACTTTCTGTAGTTTCAGTTACCTGTGGTCAATTGCAATCTGAAAATATTACATACAATAAGGTATCTTAAGAGAGAGACCACATTCACATAACTTTTATTACAGTATATTGTTATAATTATTCTAGTTTACTATTAGTTATGTTGCCAATCTCCTACTGTGTCTAATTTACAAACTAAACTTTATAACAGGAATGTACATATAGGAAAACATAGTATGTTTAGGGCTCAGTACTCTCCTTGGCTTCAGGCATCCATTAGGGCCTTGGAATATATTCCCTCTGGATAAGGTATTCCTACTGTGTATGCGTGTGTGTATATACACACACATCCATTTTCACATCAGTGCTTAAATGTGGTAATATTACATACTTTATTTTCTTTTAGCAGTCTTATGTGGCTTTTTTTGCTTTGCCTTTACCTCTCTCCTCTTCTCCATGCAAATCTGCCCATTACAGATAACCGATGCCAACCAAAAGCCTGGTGTCCATTGTTTCTATTTTTCTTCATGTCCGGATAATCACCCCCACACAGCACATATAAACACATAAAAATATATAGGACTTTTCTACTTAAAAACAAGTTTTCATATTATACTCTTCATAATATATTTTTGTTTAAGTTTAACACTGTTGTAGGACTTTCTCCTCATTTCAGCTAAAAACTGGGTTCTTGTCACACGACCAAGAGAGATTAGGCTCATGGACACATAGAAGGGTGAGAAAAACGGAATTTATTGGGTGAAAAATGAAAAAAAAAAACTCAGCAAAGTGAGAGGGGTTCCTGTTAATGGGCCCCCATCTCACCAATTGAATCCCAGGTTACCAGCCAGTAACAGGAGAGGCCAGGCTCCTCCTCTCTGCAAACAACAAAAACTTCCCATGGCTCCACCTTGTCCCCTCTATGTGCAGGCCACTTGGAGATTCTCTGGGAGCCCTTTTTACTTGGCTATCTCAACACCACCTCATTTAAATTTTTCCAAACCTAAAATATAGCCCAAATTCATTCTTTTTAAAGTCTACAAAAACATTTCACAGTGTTTATGTAAAAATTTATGCAACTGCTCCTCTATTGATGAGCTTTCCAGTTTTCTGTCACCCAAAGCAATGCTCAAGCAACTATTCTTGTACATATATTTTTAGTTAATACTATTTTTCTGTAAGTTATATTCCCAAGAGTGAGATTTCTGGGTCAAAGTATATATACATTTAATGTATCTTAACAGATTCTTTGCAAAAATATTGTGATAAACTTGATTTCCAACAACATGAGTTGTTTTCTCCCCATCAATAGGTGTTATCATCTTGAACACCTATTGCTAACACCAGTTGAATAAATGTAAAACCACAGCCCACTGTTACTTTATTTGCATTTCCCAACTGGAAAGATTTTATGCGTTTGGAACATTTTTATGTAAGCATTTTGGTAATTTAGACTTAGTCTTTTATGAATTGGATCTTCATATCCTTTGTCCTTTTGTCATTTTTTTTTTCTATTGGATTACTTTTTGCTTGACAAATTGGAAGAGCTCTATGTATGTTATAGATATTAACCCTCTGTCTGTCCTCTGAGTAACAATTGTTTTTTCAAATCTATTATTTATCCTTTAACTTTGTATGGTAAGTTTTGTCAAACTGCATTTGTGAAATTTTTTATAGTCATATATTTCTGTGTACATGATATAGCTGGGGTTTTCGTTTTACTTCCTTTCAGATGAGTAACCAGTTTTATTTGTTCTATTTATTAATTCATCCTTTTACTACTTAAATGGTAGGTAGGTAGCTAGAGATAGAGATTGAAACGTATATCCTGGATCTATTTCTGGATCTATCCTGGATTCTTAATCCTATTCTATTTTATTTATATTGTTCTCAATACCAGAGTGATTTAATTATAATAATTTTATATCATTCTTTGATATCTAGGAGGTCAAATTTTTTTCCTTTTTTCAAAATATTTTCTGGTTATACTCAGGTGTTCATTCATGTATGTTCTTAGATTGTTTTTCCTAATTAAAAAAACATTATTTTGGTGTGTGTGTGTGTGTATGGTAAATGACACCCCACGTTATTAAATCTTCCTTTAATATTTCTCATTATGTTTATTATATTAGTGTATTTATTGTATTTTTTCTTTTCCTTAGTTTTGCAACCTTGATAACATTGGTATTAATTCAGTATTTCCCCTTGATAATTTGGAAGTTTTACTCTAATTCACCTTCATTAAAGATTATTTTCTTGCCCCTGAATTCACATATTTCTCTACTATTGCCTGATGACACAGTACGAACTATTCCCCTTACCAATAATTTCCCACTATTAAAATAAGACTCTTATAATACTTCCATTTCCTCCTTAGTTCTCTTTCTCCTATCCTCCATAGAGAAGTGGACTTTGGAATGCTTTTTCTTTCCCCATATTACTAGATTGTGCTCAGATAGTTAATTATTTAATTCAAGACTCCCCCTTGCAGGTTGCCCCTTTTGTTTCAAGAGTCCTTTCTTATAATTTACATTGCATATCCCCTGGTAGTTTATCATTAGCTCTTTTAATTCAATATACAAATAGTAGAAGGTCCATATCTTACCACTGTTTTCCTTCCTCTTCATCTTTTCCCATCTTTCTGGTTAGTGTGTTTTCCCAATATACTCTGAATTCTAGCATAATATCCATGAGGCATTAAATTCTAGACATACTCTTCTGTGTACCATTATGCAATAGCAATCCCAGCTTTTCATAGGAATCAGCATAGTGGGTGTAGAGAAATATTTTGTTAGTTGGTCCTGGGGATGTTGAATCATGAATGTTAAGGCACTTAAGTGAACGTCTTGCTGCTGTTCTCCATTTGAGGCTGGTTTGTTCAGCTTTTTCTGGATGACAGTGCATGCATATTCATTGAATAAACTCATGTGTTCTGGAGATAATTACAACTTGCAACTGTTGGGGGCTCAAAAGACCATATTCCAAATATGACACGTTGGCATGCTGAGGACTTTGAACTGAAGGAGATTGGAAGAGCTTCAGAAGCAAGGTCTTTCTGTCCTCCTGCCCTCCTATGTTCCACCTCTTTTTCCACTTGAAGAAAGTCACAGAAACCAGAATTCCTCATCCTGAAAGCAAGCCATAAAACTTAGGTCACTCCCTCCCTTCTCCCTTGATGACCCTCATTCCAGAAAGGTCCTGCCCCATACCCGGGGGAGGGCATGCTACAGAGGCCAAGAAGCATCTGGAAGGCCATGCTGGGTTTTCCTGCCCAGTCTATCACAGTTTAGCACTTTCTCTTTTATCCAATTACATTGCTATATGGCTGTCCATTCTTTACCAATCCTAGGCATAAAATAGACAGTTATCTCTGAGTCTTTTGGTCTTCATTTCTGAGGGCTCGTGTATCATGTAAAACTTTGACTAAATGTTCTCGTTATGTTTTTCTCTTGTCTTTTGTTACAGGAATGTCAGCTTTGACTCTTAAGATGGGTAAGGAAAGGTATCACATCTTTCTGCCCCTGCACATCTAAAAAACCATGAGACTAGGATTACTTTAAGTAAAATAAACGATGTCCAGCAAGTTCATCTTTGATACCCTACCACCTTTCCTATGAGTCTATTATTTGCAATAGTTTCTCATGTCCCTCCAGATGCCTAATCTGTATGCTGTTCTCATCCAGACACCAAAAATCTCTACTAAAGTTTAATTTGAAAGTGCTTTGAATATTTTAGAGGATTGGAAGATAGTGCATCTGATGTTTTTGTGCAGCTAGTGTTAAAGTCTCATTAGTGCATACAATCTGGGGTCATTAGTGATTACCCCTGTAACCTATCAGCTCTGACTCTTGCCAGGCTTTTTCCTCTAGATATATCATCTCAATTAGCATTTTCAAAGACTTCCTTTTTTAAAGCTATGTTTATCTATACTTTTTTAATTAAATTTTTTCTTAGATTTTCTACTCTACTGATTTTCAGATATACTGTACTTCTTTTACATAAAGCTAATGTTTTTACGTGGCATTGCTATTTCCCAGATTCTCACTCAAACTTTGTTTTCAAAACAAGTCTCTTTATAAGTATCTGAAAAGTTCTGTTTTTGTTTTCAATGTATGTGCTGTTTTAAGACAAAAATGTTATCCTTTTATAGGAAAACTGAAAGTTTTAGAAAAAAGTTATTTCTACTGAAATCATTCCCTTTTGCTAAACTTATTGAAAGTGACTTTTAGTTTGCATTTTTCATTAATCTTTTTCAAAGAGAAATACAGTTGTGGTGTTGATTTTGGATGACTCTTGCACTGTTCTTTCCAAATTCCCCAGGTGTGAAAATTTGAGGGGTTTTAAGTGAGCCAGTATCAGCCAAATATGCAATCTGATAACCAAAGTGCACGTATATATTGAGTGCGTTTCTCTGCTGGGATGCATGATATTCTAATGAGGCAATTTACGAAAACAAATGTAAAACTTTGTCAGAGCAGCCTTAATACGAAGGTTCATCACATGAATGCCATTGAGGAAATAGGACATTAACAATGGCTGTTTGAACGATTCTGTAGGCATTATGTAGTAATGGGAAGGATAAGAGTAGCTAACGCTTCATTAAAAAGGATTTTTCTTTCTTGCAATTATTGGGTCTCAGGCTTGTTTCTGCTCCTGTTGCTAAGGCCAACAGCCTGCCAGATAGGAAATGATGTTGATGAAGACATAAAATCACACTTACACACATTTTTGTATTTAAACATCTAGAGAATTGGGAATAGTGTGTGTTAGGATAGGTGGAAGTTAGAAAGGAAGGAAAAAAAAAAAAAACCCGAATACATAAGGGTGAAAAAATACAATATACAATAATTAGTTCACACTCTGAAATTCCAGATGGCTCACTTTCACACCAACAATTATTTCATTGTTCTGGGTCCTTCCTCCAAATATTTTTATGGAGTTATACTCCTATGAGTTATCTCTGCCAAGATTTATTCAAAGGAAAAACCATAGCTATACAAAGTGCAATGCATAAGAATGTGTAAGTGACTCTTTCTCATTCCAAGTTGGTACCTGAAGATGATTCAGTTTTGTACAGAGGCATATTAGCCATCAGCAACTATCATTTTCATCATTATTGCAAATTTTGGGGTTATAAGTAGTACCAAAATGGAGTACACCTATGTTCCTGTTTTAAATTATCTGTGTATATGGAACTTAGTGACATCTATATGTTGGCTTTTGGGATGGACTGTCATTACACATTCAGTGCGTCAATAACAGCACACTATTCAAAGAATCATGGTATATGGCTCTTTAAAAAGGCAACTGCTACCAGCAGCAGCAGCAGCTTGGTTTTGCCAAGTGAATTCTCCCTATAAATTTGCATAGTAAAAAGAAAAAAAATTGATAAATTCTCTTCGTAACCACTCCAAAGAGTGTTCAATAATCTCATCTCTCCCTTTAGAATCTCTGAAGTATTCCACTAAAAGAGCTAATCATAAACTACTCAAATTTAGGTATTTTTATGTCACTATTTTTATCTAGCATAAGCTAAACTTTTCATTCAAATGAAAGAAACCACATGACCATTTAACTAACATGTTAAGAAAGCATGATGTAATGTAGAACACAGGATCAGTAAGAATTGAAAACAATTAAACCAGGTTTCAACTTTGTATGGGCAATTATTTAACTTTTCTGCTGATTCTTTGGGGTAAAATGACTGATCTACCTCATAAGGAGTTAAGAGGTGGATAAAACGCATGAAAAGACTAGTTAGAAGGCAATAACAATCTTAATAGTAATTCTGTAATAAAATCCATGACAGTACACATGCATTATTAATATATCCCCCTTACATTTGTTAGAGAAGGCATGATGATTCCTTAACTAAAATTTTGGAGGGTAGAGCTTTCTCCACAGGACAGCAAATTTGCAACATTATTGCCTGTTGAGCACACTAATTTGCCCTTCCTCGTTCCTTTTATTTGGCATCTTCGTGATAAAGTTGTAATTTTCATACTGTTGGAAAGCACTTAGAATCAAGACTTGTGTCACTATTTATGTAGCTGAAATACATGGCTAATGTTGTATACTTCTGATACTTTTATATTTTAAAAGGACATATCATTTCTCTGAAAAGTTGAGGAGGTATACTCAGGCCATTTTAATGCCCAGTTACAATAAACAGTGAGGTATTCCCCACTAAGAATTTTTTTTTTTTTTTTAGACAGGGTCTCAACTCTGTAGCCTAGTTTGGAGTGCAGTGGTGCAATCACAGCACACTGCAGCCTCGCTCTCCTGGGCTCAAAGTGATCCTCCCACCAAACACTACCTCCTACTGCTGAAATCCTTAAATACCAGAATACATCAGATGCTGAAGTGTTATGTCCAGTTTGCCAACAATGACATATTTCTTTGTAGATTCTGTAAGAGCTCTCCCATCCCAGCAATACAAATAAAACAGAATTAAGTTTTCTGTGAAAACAAGTACTGAATAGGGCTGAATGGATAACTTGGTCAATGCTTTCATACAACTTGAAAAATCACTCATTAAGTCTCCACTTCTTTCTCTCTTTAGCATGGATTTCTACATTGTAAAGACCTGGAAGAATTATGGAGGGAAGCATGGACATTTGGTATAATTTGGCAAGGCATAACACAGTACTTGAGAAAGAGAAATGTGACATTTTTGCAATGTACTCTTTTGTAGTAAGTCATCATAAATTTCAGCACAAATGAACTACTGATGATGCTACATCATGTGCTTTAACAAAAGGAATACATAAGGGTGAAAAAATACAATATACAATAATTAGTTCACACTCTGAAATTCAAGACCATCCTGGCTAACATGGTGAAACCTCGTCTCTACTAAAAATACAAACAAACAAAAAAAATTAGCCGGGCGTAGTGGCAGACGCCTGTAGTCCCAGCTACTCGGGAGGCTGAGGCAGGAGAATGATGGGAACCTGGGAAGCGGAGCTTGCAGTGAGCCTAGATCATGCCACTGCACTCCAGCCTGGGCGACAGAGCGAGACTGTCTCAAAAAAAAAAAAAAAACCACAAAAAACAAAAGACCAATCGCTTTTATTCTCTCTAGGCTTGATGTATGATTCAATCACCAATTTAGGTTTCACTAACAAATCATTATATAATCTGATCTGGGGTACAGTATTTTCAACATTTTGTTGGGAAAATTTCAACTGCCTAGGTAGTTGAAATATTATTTAAATTATATTAAAGAAATTTAATATAATTGAGAAAAATTCAGAGCAAAAAACTCACACAAGACTCCATCACCAAAAGTATTTATTCCCAAAAGAATGACATATCTTGAGAACAAAGTAACTTTTGCAATTCATTTTGTGCTTAGGTACCAAAAAATGTTAATGATGCTCCGTTCATATTTTTAGAATATCACATTGATAATGGTACTATAATATATCCTGGCCTACTAGAGTTCCATGGATTTAAATAAATAAAATTTAATTCTGCCTTCTATAACGTGCAGCGTTGTTTTATGGTTGTTGAGTTTTGTGTGAGTGTGTGTATGTATTTGTGTGTGCCTCTCCTTCTTATTGAAGGATTCAGACAGCTATAAAGATAAAATGTTTTGTGTGTGTCTGTGCATGTGTGTATTTTTAAAACAATGTCTATCCTTCTGTCTCCATTGGTGCCAATCTTTTGTTGAACCTGTAAAGGTAAGGCCCAGATTCTGAAACCCGGTTAAAACCACTAATATTCCTCTGTGAGGCCCCTTCTTAGCTACCAGCTCTCCCCTATCCACACCCTCTATCTTGCTGACATGTGTGTGTAAGCCCAAATCATCAGTAATCACCTGAAGGCTGATGACCTGTAGGCTCATAAGTCCTCAATTAATTTTTATTGCTCTTACAATATTTGTAAGATGAGTAAGAATAGCTATTTGACACCTTAATATTAAGTATGGTATATGTTAAGTTTTAGGCTATAATTTCTTTTAATATACTGACAGTATGATGATACATGAAAAAGCAAAATATCAGTCTGTAATAAGATATAAATTATCCTTTATTAGGTACCCAAATAATCTTTATAAAGAAGCTAGAATTTAAAAAAAGAAGGATTGCTGCTTTTATGATCAATTTATTAGAAACTACTGTGGCAACTGTTTACAATGTATTCATTCTTTAGAGCTAGTTGAAACTTATTACTATTATTCTGCTAAATAGAAAAACTTCAAGCCAGTAGGAAATCTCAGTTTTTTTTTTTTTTTAAATCGCTATTATTGTATTATTAGTCAGGGTTACTCTGGCAGCAAAGCAAAAATGTTCAGATGCCACATCTCCTAGCTTTTATGTTTGGCTTTCAGAATGAGCAGTTGGTCATTATCAATATTATTATAATGTGACCAGTTAATAAGTCTGACAAACATTTTCCAACTTGTCATTTTTGAAAAGGAGAGGATATTTTTGATACGGACACACAATATACAAGAAATCCCAGAGCCTGAAATTTCATGCATCCTGTGCCTACAAATAAGAAACTAAATATTAATCTAGTTAGTTTTCTATGGGTATAAAGAAAAAAAAAAACTGCTAATCAATATTCCTGCTGAAAAATAAATTATTAGAAAATATAGGCAACTTCCACTCTCCATTATAAATGATCAAAAACCTAGGTAAAAATCTAGTGTTTCCCCAATCAGTGAAAACAATATATACCAGGTAAATGACTAGTCAAGTCTATAAGAGAATAACACAAAAATGAGCCACTCATATTTTAGGTACAAGTGACAAATGTATTTCTCTTTATTATTTTTAAGGTTTTTTTTAAATGTCTTTTGGTAGTGGAAGCATTTTATTTGATTCCACTGTTGCTCATGGTTTGAGCCCTACATAATCCCTTCCCTTTCACCTCAAAGGGAACTCCTTTGTATGTAGCCACACACTCATCATTAGTGTGAAGATCCGGCTGGATCTGCTCCCAAATCTTCTTCTTAGGATTCAGCTCCTTGTCGGGCTCTCCTGTGTAGGAGAGAAAAAGCACAAGAAAATTATACAGCTAAAATACAAAAATATTAAAGAGACTGTTCACAGACATTTCCAGTGAATTGTTTTGGCAGCATTTTCTGATTTTTGGACCTAATCAAACTTTTAACATTTACTTTATTTTTATTATGTCAGCAGTTTATATTCTTGATTGGTAAAATAAAATAGTTATTGTTGTTTATGTAAAAGATATTATATTTTACTCATAAATATTTTTATAAGTAATAAAGCTTAATGAATTGTATCCAAATTATCAAAATTATAAAATGGAAGATACTCACTGATATGGTTTGAGTCCGTATCCCCACCCAAATATTATGTTCAATTATATTCACCAATGTCGGAGGTGGAGCCTGGTGGAGGTGAATGGATTACAAGGGGCAGATTTCCTCCTTGGTGCTAGTTTCATGATAGTGAGTTATCCTGAGATCTGGTTGTTTAAAAGTGTGTGGCACTTCCCTGCTCTCTCTCGGTCCTGCTCCTGCCATGTAAGATGCTCGCTCTTGCTCTGACTTGATTTGACTGCCATGAGTAAAATTTCTGAGGCCTCCCCAGAAGCAGATGCTGCCATACTTCCCGTACAGCCTGCTGAACCCTGAGTCAATTAAACCTCTTTTCCTTACAAATTACCTAGCCTCAGATATTTCTTTACAGCAGTACATGAATGGATTAACATACTCATTTTATCATTAAATATAAAGAAAAACTGTGAAGAAAAAAAGTCTTTTGATATGTTATATTTTTACAACTGGTAGAAGCAGCTTATGCTTTACTATGTTTCAAAATACAAAATGAGCAGCTAGATCACTGCTCTAGTGCTTAAAGATTTCTTATCAATACTGGAGATTGGCTTAAATTTTGGGTTTCTCTAGCTAATGATGATAACTACTTTGGATTTCATTTGCTACCCATTCTGTTCGGTGAGATGTAAAGAAACAGAAAGGAGTAGTGAGGAGACAGGGACTAGTATTTTCTAAGCACTAGGAATATATGTTGTTGCCTAAAATTCACATAACTCTGACTAATTTTAAGTAAAAAGAAACTGAGGCTCAGAAAACACAAGTTGCTCAATGTCACATAATCAACAAAGCCCATGTTCTGCTAGTACAGCATTCTGCCCACTGACAAACCATACTTTAGAAAGTAAACAACCCTCTTACATGTGGTTAATACCCACAACCCCTCTATTTATAGTAACTCACAGTATAAATTTTATAATAAAAGAAAAATTAGTAGTAGAGCATATCTGGTTTAGGCTTAAAGACAAGTAATATGCCAAACAACTCCTCTACTTAATGATAGAAAATTAGAGAGTAAAGTTCAATATAAGTTCAAAGCTGAGAATGCTCAATATTTAGAATGAAGAATCAGTCAGTTCAAGAAACAATGAAGAAAAGTAACATATCTCTTAAGGTGCAGAATTTATATTAGGAATATAAAATATATTCATATCTTATATTAGGAATATAAAATATACTCACATTTTATATTTATATTTTATATTCTGACGACATCTTATTATATAAAATAGTATTTATTTTCCAGTCATATATATATAAGAATAACAAAACTGTGTAAATTAGTTGGTCATTGTAGTTTTGTTGTTTATTAGCTCTTCAGAAACTATGAAACTGGTAAGAACATAAAACACTGCCTTCTAACATGCAGGCTTTCGGAGATAACACAGTAGTTAATTGAATGATACACCTACAGTAGAACATGTAATGAAACTAAGACTGAAAGTGACTGGTATAAAAAAATAAGGATTTCTCTTACCCCTTTAAGGACATTTGATTCGACAATAGAGAAACTAGTAAGTAGAATGGAAAAAAAAAACAATAAATAAAATTCAATTATATTGCTCCTTAGATCCATAAGATTTTTATTTTTTGTTTGTAAATCATTCCTTAATCTATAATCATAATCTTGTACATACACTGTGTCGCAAAGTGGGCACTCCAGGATTCTAGAAGGCTAGAGGCAGAGATACTGTTCAGGGAGGTCTGAGCACTGACTCAGATTTGCAACCTTTGCAACCTTGGCCCAAAAGGACGTTGCCAAACTGATAATGAGTTAGTTAAGAAGCAGACTGACATACATGCTTCTTATAAAGAATATAGATTGTGTGGGTAAATTCTTGCTGCAAGCAACATAAGCCCTAAGTATAAAAAGCTGTGATGTAGCACAAAATTAACCTTCTCAGATCTAGAAAGACAGTGCCATGTAAATTAGATAATATCCATAATAATATACAACATGTATATAGTGCTTACTAAGTGCTGGTCACTGTACTGAGTGCTGTACGTATATTAACTTGTTTAATCCTCTCAGTACATATGTAAGAAGTAATATTCATTACTCTCATCTTACAGATGAGGATATTGAGACACAAAAGTTACAGCAAAGAATTTAAAATACCAGGCAGTTGGCTAAGTGTTTTAAAAGTCAAAGCTTATAAACCCAGTTAAGACAAATACCAATTAAAATCCCCTTCTTATAGATGAAAAAGCTGAGGTTCGGAAAGATTTGAAGAGGATGAGTAAGCAAGCCATGCAGCTACCTTGGGAAACAGCTGGTGGCTCAAGTGGGGTGAGCAAGGAAAAGTTGGAGTTCGTGAGATTAACAAAATAATGGGAAATCACTGTAAGAACTTGGGCTTGTACTCTAGGTGAGATGAAAAGCTTCTGAATAGTTTCGAGCAGAGTAATATAATCTGTTAGATCACTCTGGCTGCTCTAATTGAACATAAATGGAAGAACAGAGACGGCAAAAGCAGGATGATCAGTTAGAAGACTTATGTAAATATGCAGATAAGAGATGTTGGCTTTGGGACTAGGGTGCTAGTGGTGTAGTTAATAATAATTCTAGGTATGTTCAGAAGGTAGAGCCACTAGGATTTTCTGAGCAGAAGATATAGGGTATAAGAAAAGCAGTTAAGCAACTAGGAGGATGGAAATGCTATCAAATAAGATGAAAAATACCATGGACAAATGGAATTCTAGGGGAAAGAGTGGGATTATGTGTCCTTCCCCCTTGGAGCATGTACATCAAAGAGTTCATCTGGCAGCTATCTAGCTTATCTAAATGACTGGGTAAAATTGCCCAAGGAATAAGCATGGAAAAAAAAGAGGTCCAAAACCAAAGTCTGAGGTCCTATAACAGGAAGAATCCAGGGAGGTAAGGAAGAATCAGCAATGGAAATGATAGCGGCAGCCAGTGAAGCAGGAGGACCACCAGAAGAGTATGGTGCCAGAAGCCAAGTTAATTAATAACAAGACTGAGAACTAGACATATAGCTACAGGGAGTGATTGGTGATTTTACCCAGAGCAGTTCTGGTGAAACAGTGGGGAAAGAAACCTGATTAAAATGGGTTTTCAAGAGGAGGAATCAAGTATAGACAATTTGGATTTTTAACAAATGGACTTAAAATTTAAACCTGTACTTCCTAATTAGCTATTAATTTCTACTATTAATAAGACTCGATATCAATAGAAATAAGCATGATCTTGGAAGACTCAATATCAAAATTTAAACCTATGCTTCCTAATTAGCTATTAATTTCTACTATTAATAAGACTCGGTATCAATAGAAATAAGCATGATCTTAGAAGTTAAAAGTCTGACTGTAAATTCCTATTTATTATTTGATCATAAATAGTGCATTCTCACAAAGACCTGTCATTGTCTTTGTCTCCTAGCTGTAATACTGTTTTCAAGTTAGTTTTGCTTGGTGGGAGTAGAGTGGTGAGCATATGCTCCATGAATTTAAAGCCATTAGGCATCTCTGAGAAATCATGGAGACTGAGATTTTCCCAAAATGTAATTTCCAAAAAAATGTTATTAGAGCATAGACCACTATGATTCCTCATCTACCAAGGTTCAAGACATACAGATTCATTCAAAGTCAGGGGTACTTGTAAAATAAATAAATAAATAATTTCCCTGTGTGTGTTTTTTTTAAGACTAGTCTGCTTTTGATTAGGAGGGTGGAAATGAGTTCCAAACAAATTAATCCATGCTTTCATCCATATTTTCTGTGTTACTATTCCATGTTAAAACTCTTCATGTTGTAGTATTTCATTAAACACAGTTAATGGAGAATTTTAAAACATGCCTATATAATCACATCAGCCTTGTTATTCAATAAAACTCAGCTATTCGCAATCAGAAATGACAAAGGTGACATTAAAACCAATCCCACAGAAATACAAAAGAACCTCAGAGACTATTACAAACATCTCTTTGCACACAAATTAGAAAATTGATAAATTCTTAGAAGCACACAACCTCCCAAGATTGTACTAGGAAGATAGTAAAAACCTGAACAGACCAATAACGAGTTCTCAAACTGAATCAGTAATAAAAATCTACCAATTAAAAAAAGCCCTGGTGTGGTGGCATAGTCCCAGCTACTTGGGAGGCTGAGGTGGGAGGTTTGCTTGAGCCTAAAAGGCAGAGATCGCAGTGGGCCAAGATAACGCCACTGCACTCCAACCTGGGTTACAGAGCCACACCCCGTCTCAAAAAAAAAAAAAAGAATGAGTGAGGGCTGCTAGCATGTTGTCACTTCTCATTAATAAGAATTGTTTTATAAAAAAAAAAAAAAAAGCCCTGGATCAGATGGATTCGCAGCTGAATTCTACCAGATGTACAAAGAACTGGTACCAATCCTACTGAGACTATTCCAAAAAACGGAGAAAGAGAAGCTCCTCCCTTACGTATCCTGTGAAGCCAACATCAGCCTGACACCAAAAACTGTCAGAGATCATAAGGAAAAAAGAAAACTTTTAGGCCAGTATCTCTGATGAACACAAACACAAAAGTCCTCAACAAAACACTGGCAAATAAAATACAGCAGCACATCAAAAAGCAATATACCACAATCAAGTAGGCTTTATTTCTGGGATGAAAGGCTGGTTCGACATATGCAAATCAATAAATGTGATTCACCACGTAAATAGAAGACCAAAAATTA